ACAATAGAGAAGAATGTAAGTGGCAAAGTCCTGGAGGGAAACATTTCCTAGGGTAGAAAGTTAGAAGAGCAGAAGTTGGAAGGCTTCACAGAATGAATGTCGAGTCATGGGGTGAGGCAAGACCAGTAGCTGAAACCTCAGTGTGCCTGGGAGATAATTCTTCGGGTTCCAGGGGAAAACCATCAAATACAAAGATGAAGAGTCCGTGGATTTGGGCACCCAGGGCTCAGAACAGAGAAGGCAGCAACTGCAGCTTCTCACTTTCTCCGTGACACAGGCTCACCCAGGCCCTCTGCCATGGCCAGGCTTACAACAGAGTGGGGTAGAATGAGATGTTTTCTGGAGTGCTTGGTCAGAAAAAGTCAGCCTTTATACTGGTAGGTTTCTCCACAAAGGTGAACAAAGATTGGCTCTCTAGAAGAGGGAAGGGGGAGTCTTGGCATTGGTGGTGATAAGAGGCTCCCAGAAGGGTTTCTTCTGGAAAAAGAAACATAACTAGGACTTACTGAGAGGTTTAGAAAACAGACGTTGAATTTGAGGTTGATCATTGCTAAGTTCATACAAAATGAAGCAACCAAAAATAAGAATTACTAACTCCAGAGAAAACAAAGTTGCACAGGAAAAGAAAAGCAGTCAGGATCATGGTTTAGTTTGATAGCTCACGTGGCCATACCAATGTTAGCCCTGGAAATGACCCCCAGCCAGCTCCACAGTTTAACTGTAATTACAGAGGAGGGGTGAGGAGGGCAAGGGTGACGGGGGTGGGGCTTGGGGTGGGAGAAAAGAGGTTTATGGGGAGCATTGAGGTAAACCCACATATTCCACGGTAGAAAGTAGACAGGTAATGCCCCAGACTCTCGAAGCCAGGGAATACTACTAAAAGCATGAGATACCAAGATTTCTAAGGCTGTAGATATCAAGAGGCAGCTAGAAGTCTAATGTACCATGTAGAAGGCATGTCTTAGCCATAGAGTGAGACTGGGGTCTGCTCCCTCACTAAAGGGAAGTTTTTTAGAGGTTGATTCTTAGATTACATGCAAATATAGGCTGCATAGCATGTGATGGAAATAGCATTAAAGAAAAGTCATTTCAGTTGTGCATGCAGGTGTGTACACACTGCATTGATTTCTGCTAAATGTATTTCGTTTGTTACCTTTTTATAAGGTAGGGGATTGAACTTAGGCCTTGCGCTTGCTGGTCCATTGCTGCTGGGGCTTCAACCCGTAGAGTGTATTTCTTGCTGTGAGTGGTAGTAAGACAGTTGGAAAGCCCTCCTGTAATGGCTTCTCATTGCCAGTTCACTGTTCATACCTCAGAATTGATCCCATACACACATGCATGTGCAGAAAAATGATTTTTACAGTTGAGTACATGCTACTTTTTGAATTAAACATTGGTGGCAAGAGGAAGGTCACAGCATCATCCCATCCCAGTGAGTGGCCCCCGTTTGCATTTATGCTGCCAAAATAGGTGTGAACTTCTCTGGAAGCACTTGAAGGCCAGTGCCGGGTAGCCTACTCCCTGCCCTCACAGTCCATAGGGGCCACTATCCACATGCCTGACAGACTGCTTTATAATTGCAAGCCGGGGTATTCATGCTTCATATTTAATTCATACTCTTTCTCTTGTGCTGGCTTATTTTCATGAGGCCAGTCCTGCTTAAGAGTTGGTTAGATTAAGGGTGTGACTAGATGTTTTCGGTGTTGATGAATGAGCTGGTCTGCTGGCAGCCAGCTGTGAATGCGCCCCCCCCCCCCAGTGGCAGTAAACTCCCTTGGAAACTCTCTAAATGTAATTTCAATGACATTGACTATTTTTACATCTGTTGGTTATATTGACCTTCCATTTGTATATAATGTCAATACTCTTTGTTCACCTAAAACGAGAGTCTTTTGCTTTGTTTGTTAGGTATGAATCTTTCTGGGTCATATATATTTGCTTTTTCTCATAATTGCTGCAGACAACTTATCATTTATGTTAATTTATTATTTTACTGTTACTTTTAATCATATGATAGAGATGTTTGGTAATCTCGTTCTTTGAATTTGTTTTTCTGTTGCTTCCAGAGGGAAAATGATTAACATGAGCCTGCTGAAATAGCTTGTTCTCCAGGGTAAATGTACCACGCACATACTGTGTGCCCTTTAAATGTTTAAATTGATTTTTGCTTATTTAATTGTCCTCAGAATGCTAATCAGCTATCCTGACACTATTAAGTAATTCTAATTTTGCCCTGTTTTGAGAAGTTGATTTGACAAATATGCCTTTTGTTTGCCATGTAAATGCTTTGTTTTGTACTAAAATACTTGGAATTGAGGCCTTGATAATTGTTTTTTGTTCTCACAAAGTAACATTTGCATTCTTCCCTGCTAAAGAGGTAAGAAGTATTAGGGAAAAGTTTATTCATTCCCTTTTAGAAAACCAAGATTCTTAGTCATACATGCCTCTGTGTGTGCGCGCGCGCTGAGATAAATGGTATTGGGGTTAATTGAATATGTCAGTTGATACAAGAGCTGAGACAATTCTGCTGTCATTTTGTGTTATTTGGTTGGGTAGATAAGGCAGGGTGCTGGGACTGCTTTCTTTTGGGGTCCGGTCTTCCAGCTTGGGTTTGGACCCCACATCTGTCTCTCCTGGTCTGTTGTATGCTTGTGGGACAGGAGTTGAAACCAATGGGAGAAGAAGCCCGGCCTGTGGCGGGGCCCTGCTCCTGCTGTCTGTGAGGCTCTAGTGGGCTTCTCTATGGCCAGCCTGGAGCTGCCACAGAGTGCGGATCTCCAGGGTGAGGGGCCTGGTGTTGCCCCAGGGTAACCTAGTGTCCAGGTACTGGGCAGGAAAGTGGATTGAGTCACCAGTTTCTCTGTGGAGCTACAGGAGGTCTGGCATTTTTCTTTTCCTCAGAACTTCTAGGGTGTTCTGTGCTGTGGCCACAAGATGCCTTCTAGGGTCCCTCAGCATCTGGGTGCTGGGTCTGACTGGACCTTCCAGGCTTCTCCAGGAACCTGGAGGAGGAGTGGCCACTCTTAGGGCCAGGAACATCTTGACTGCCAAAACAAACAGGGTTTCTGGCACTTAGGGTTTTTTTTGCCTACTAGTGTGTTTCTGGCTGAGTGGGTTGTTCACTGAAGAACACATGGTTGAGTTGTAGGTTTATGGTACTGAGTCCAGCCATCTGCAGCCCCTCCCCCAAGTGCAGCAAAACGAAATACCCAGTGCTTTGGGTGTCTGCCATCTGTGGAGCACAAGCAGCGGTGCTAGTGTGTTTGGTTAGTTATCACCCCATCCCAGCCAGTGTGGCGCTTCCACCCTCACAGGACGCTGGAAGGACCGTCCTGTCTCCCTCACTCGCCTACATCTGGTTGCAGACCAGCTCGAACTCATAGTCTCCTGAAGAGTCCTCAGTGAGACTTGGGGTCCCCGGGTCACTAAAGATCTGGGTCTGGGAATCTGTGACCCTGACTGGCTGGGCCTCGAATACTGGTGATACCAGGGCCAGGCACTGAGAACCTCATTCCAGTTGGGAGTGTGGAGCCTTTGGCTGCTTGGTAGCCTGCTGTGGCAGGAGGTGCCTGTGTCTCAGTGGAGAGACCCTGGCTGTCTCTGCAGCCAGTGCTGGCCCCTGGGTGCTGTGTTTCCCTCATTCTCACTGGGAGGAGCTGTGGGCATGCAGACAGTGGGTGGGCGCTGTCACCTTCCTGGACAGGGCAGGCCCTTTGGGTACTGAGTGTCCTTTCTTCTTTCCTTCCTTCCTTCCTTCCGTCCGTCCATCCATCCATCCTGGGAAGGCCATAGCAGGGTAAGCAGATGATAGAGCTGCCAAACAGTCATGGCTGTTTGCAGGGGAGTGTGGTTTGTGTCCTTGCTGACCTTGCTTTCTTGGAATGTTATAGATTAGCACTGGGTGCCCGTGGCCACCTCCCAGGAAGGCACAGAGGCCACTTCTTCTGTGGCAGTCAGGGTGGGTTGTGTCCTTATTGCCAAGGTGGACTTGTATGTGCCTCCCCACACCCTGCCTGGAAAGTGACAGTGAGCAGGGGCAGGGCTGGCCATGCCTTGTGATCTCAGACCCTGCCTTAGCCCCACTTGGTACCCTGCCCTCACTCGTTCCCATTCAGCCTCGAGAAGGAAACAGGGATGGTGTTGTTCAGGGTCACTGGATTGCCTTGTGATTTGACGGGTTCACCTTTTCTTAGGGCTCCAAAGGGGCTTTGAGGGTGGACACAGACAGCTTCCTCTCTAGACCCCTCACGCCATGGCTCTTCCAGGAAGGTGACTTCACTGCAGCCCCAGGGGCCAGAGGTCATGGTAGGCAGGACAGGGCAGGTCTGCAGGCAAGGGAGGCTGCTGGGCTGATGCTGGCTGAGGAGGCCAGCGAATCATCTGCTGCTGAGTGTGAAACTGGGAGGCCTCTAGTGTTAGAGAGCAAGGTCAGAGCCCGCCCACCCATCTGCCTGCCATGTGGCTAGGGCCCGAGCTGTCTGGCTTTTCATCTTTACTTTTTCCTTCCCGGATGTGGCTGTTGGTGGTCAAATCCTGTTTCCTCATTTTTTTCTCGTGAGTGGAAAGAATGTGGACTATGGAACCCACTGTCCTTGGTTCGGATCCTAGGCTCTGTCTTTGTTCCCTTGTCCTTGAGCAAGTCACACAACCTTTCTGAACTCCCATTTTCTTAACAAGAGGTAAAAAATCAGTATGAGTTGAGTTAATGAAAGGAATGTTTGGGAAGATTCCAAGCAGAATTCCTGGGATTTAGATGATACTGTGAAAATTGTTATCTCCTTTCAAAAATCTTCCCGTTCTTTTGTTTGTTTCTCAAGGCTAACAGAATTCTGCCTCCCCAGGAGCTGGTACTGGTAGTGGATCTGTGCATGGGTTAGCAGACAGTGGAGAGGCTTTGGAGATTTTCAGGGCCTGACTCTGAGTCTTGGCTTGTTGCTGGGGGGATGCTCTGGAGCAATGTGTGGAAACTAAGCCTGCCCTCTCATCGCCCCTTTCCGTAGGCCCTGCCTCTCGGAAGATGCACTATTACAGGTACTCGAATGCCGAGGTCAGCTGCTGGTACAAGTACCTCCTGTTCAGCTACAACATCGTCTTCTGGGTGAGTGCAGAGGAGCGCTACCTCCTGAGGGAGCTTCCTTTCTTCACACTTCTGAGGCTGTTGGGGGGTGGGTGTCCGGCTGTGTGGGCTGGTCACCTCCACTGGTGCCTGTCTGCCTGTGCTCACAGGCCTCTGGAAGGCCATGTGGTGGTGGCAGCGTGGTGACTTGTGTGCTTGGGATCGGGGAGCAGGCCCTCCTTTCACTTCTGAATGGTGACAGTGGACAGGGACAGATTTGTGGCCCTTGTGCTGAGGATCACCCAGGATAGGGGCCAGCTAAACATCCATGAAAGGCAACTCGCATTGTCAGGGAAGGGTATCCCAAGGAGAAGCATTGGGGTTGGACCTGGGACAAATGCAGAGATGGCCAGAGGGCTTCTGGGAGAGAGGCTGGGGCAGAGAGACTGTAGTCACACAGGCCTAGAGGAAGGAGTGAGCTTGGCACGTGCAAAGGACAAAAGGAGGTCTGTCCCACTGGAGCCAAGTAAAAAGCATGGACACAAGTGAGGACAGAGGTCCCTTGGGCTGTGTAGGTCTCAGCAGGAGCAGCGATTATGCTCTACTTATGTCAGTGACCCCAGGATAATCATGCACATTTTGCCTATGGGATTGGTCCGATGAGAGGCAGACAATGACCCTGTGCCAGAGGCTCTTAAGCCACTCAGCAGGCCTGGGTAGAGGGTCTGTGCAGGGCATGCAGAGGCAGGAACAGCTGGGGGCGGTGAGGCTGCATTGTGCTTCTAGTTAGGTCAGTGGTTCCTGTCTGGACTGAAACTCTTGAGAACATAGCTGGCTTACAAACCTCTCTACTTTTCAACCCTGACTTGATAGTATTGTCTCCTGGCTATTTATCTCAAAGAGATTAAGATTTTTGTACCCTGAAAGACACACGGTTTAGTGCCTTGCCCTTTAACCAGGAACTTCCTCACTGCCCTGGAAGTGGATTGAGGTGGGTATGTGTTAGCCCTCTGTCGCTCTGAGGAACCCTTAACACAGGGAAGAGGCTTGTCTTGGTTAATACTTTACCCATGGGCAGGTGGATTCCCTGCTCTGGGCCTCTGGGGTAGTTGAAGCAGAGCAAATTATCTCATGGCCAGGTAGCAGAAAGGAAGGGCAAGGGCCCGGGATTCATATCCCCTGGAGGACGCCTCTCCAAAGACCTGTGATTCTCCCTCTGTACCTTACCCGCCAGAGATGCTACCACTTCCCCATAGCACCACCTTTGACACAGGAGTCTTGGGGGCACCCTGCACCTGAATGACAGCCACTTTGCTCTTTGGGTTCTTCTTTGGGGAGGATGGTGCCTCACCTTGTTGCATGTGGTGGGGGAGCCCCTAGTTCCATGGAGTGTACCCTTCCTTCCCCCCATGCCAGGTGTGATGGAGGGCCTGCGCTAGGTGGGCAACCTGACCCTTTGCATACTTGAATTCCTGGTCTTCCCGTTCTGGCTGTGCTTGCAAACATTTGTGCCTGGGCCTGACTCTTAAGCCTGGCTTCCACAGCTGGGGCAAACTCTGCTGCCATTGTGGCCCAGACCCCTGCTTCTTCAGAGTGTCTTCAGACCTGCACTTGGGCCTGTTGGAGGCTCAGCCCCCTCAGTTGGTGACACATCTTCACCCCAATTGTAGGCTGCGGAGCTAGTAAACCCAGAGTCTAGCAAGCCCACTTGGTGGTCGGGGGTGTTACTGGCAGCATCTGTGGCAAAGGCTTAATCATTGTTCCCTTTTAGCATGCACTGGGGCAGAACAGGCACAGGGCAGCTGGCAGATGAGAGTGCTTGCTGGGGAGAGTCAAGTGGGAAGCCAGATGTCCACTCTGTGGAGGTCCCCCATCCCCTCCTGCTGGGTCCTGGAGCATCTGTCCACCTTGCCTCCCCAGGAGCTGTCAGGGAGTAGTAAAGCCAGGGGCTTAGGGTGGGCATAGCCTTCTGGGAGCTCTTGGAGAATGGGAAGCCAGGCTTCTGGGGACCCTTATCTCGGCTGGGGTCCTTGAGAAACATTGCTCCCTGCCTTGGCTTCCTGCCTCACAAAGTTGCCAGTGCACTGAGTCCTCACCTCTTCAGGGAGAGTTTTCTCACATTGGGAAAATACAATGAGTCTCACATTCCTATCAACTGGCTTCAAAAGTTACTTACTCAAGGCTGATCTTACTTCATTTATGTGCCTTTGGATTATTTTGCAGCAAAGGCTAGAGAGGTGATTTTTCAGTGTTAGATTTTATGTGGTGGACAGAGGTGAGCAGTGAGGAGAACACCAGGCTCGGTGCTCCTGGTCCTGTGGTCTGCACACAGAGCAGAGGTGAGGTTCCTGTCATGTGATGTTTGGGAAAACTGTATCCAGCTACAGCATTTTGAGAGCAGTGGCACTTTGTACTTTTTTTAAGTCACTTTTTGGTTGTGCTAGACCTATTTCTAGTGTAAAATCTCACTTCAGCTCAGGGAAGCAAAGCAAAGCCATAGTGGGCTACCACCTCTTGCCTATTAGGATGCCTGTTTAAAAAACAAAAAGCAAAGCCAAGGAGAACATAAATGCTGGCAAGGCTGTGGGGTATTGGTGTCCTTTGTGCTGCTGGCTGGGGTCCATCAGAGGGTACAGCAGGATAGGAGCAGTCTAGTAGTACTCAGGCAGCCTCCTCTGGGTGCAGACCCAAACGGTGGAGAGCAGGATGTGAGGTGTGTGCTTGTCCGATTCACAGTGACCAGAAAATGCCCATTGTTGATTGAGTGGACAAATAAAGCATGGTGCATACATGCCACAGTATTATGCATTGTGACAACTGTGTCTAGGTGTACCCCAGAGCCTAGGCAGTCATTAGTGGGGCTTTTCGGAGGTGGCTGGATCTAGAGTGTGAGATTGATTCATGATGCAGTGCTGCTCAAGGGCACTAAGATTAAGGATATATGCTGCCCACCCTGAGTACCTTAAATAAGTTAAAAGGAACAGAAGTGGCTTTTCTTGCCCCATCTTGCTTGCTTTTGCTGTCTGCTGCCCACCATGAACTCTTTTGCTCTCTGTGATGCCCCTTTGCCCCCAGTCATCCTGCTTTGGAGCCAGCCAATTATGCCTCTACAACTGTGAGCTGCATACACCTTTCCTTCTTTGGCTTTGGGTGCTGGTATTTAGTCTCAGCAGCAAGTGAAAAGAAAGGCAGTTAAAACACGTGCCACACCAGTGGGCAAAGCTTGGGGACATAACGCTAAGTGAAATGAAATATAAAAAGGCAAATACTTTCTTCCACTTATAAGACGTGTTTTGTGTGATTCCTCTTTTCCTATAAAATCATGGAGACAGTGGAATGTTGGTTGCCAGGGAACAGGAAGAGTGTCCTCATCTGCTTAGAGTACCACAGCCTGTCACTTAGGCACAGTGGACATCTGTCTGCCTCGTGCTTGGGAAGCCAGAAGGTCTGAGAGCGAGGGCACACCTGTTCAGGCTTCCTTGTTGTGTTGGAAGACAGCAGAGGACATTACTTTGCAAGGAACTGACATGAGAGGTCAGATGTATGATGGTGTCATTAGTGCCCTCACAGGTATTCTTCCGTCTTTACCTCCTACAGATGTCAGGTGTCGACCCCTGTGGCATTGGGGGCTGAGTTTCTAACAGGAGTTTAATGGACTCATTCAAGCCACAGCATGAGAGTTACATTTACTGCATGGAGTTTCAGCTTTGCTAGATGGAAGCATTTGATACCCGGGTTTTGCTGGTTGCTCTGCACTGCATCCTCTTAATACTCATAGGCTGCTCACGTAAACATGGCTAAAGTAGGAATGGATTTGGGGGCATGCAAGTGTAATCCTAGTGCTCTGGTAGGCACAAGTTTGAACTCTGCCTGGACAGCTTAGTGATTTTGAAAGAGCCTGTCCCAGATAAAAAGGGGTGGAATGCACTTGAGGCTAATCTAAGTTCAGTCTCCAGTGTACCCTCTTTACCCAAAAGTGAGTTTTCTGTCATGCATATTTCCCCATACTTGGCTGCAGTCTCTTGGAGATTAAAGTGGGTGAAAAAAATCCCCTTTGGCATTGGGTCATTCTCCATGTCTTATCGTCCTAGGTAGCATGCACTGACTGGTAGTGGAGGGATAGAGTCTTGCTTTGAGGAAGGGAGAGGAGCCCTTTGCTGAAACAGAGTCCCAGAGGGAGGTGAAATGGGTTGCAAGGTACCACCAATCAAACCTGCCTGGCAGGTTTATGTAGTTACAGTTCTTTCCCTGACAGGCAGGCTGTCCTCCAATGCAGAAACTTGACCCTGGAGGTTAGAGTCATCTTCACTGAGGCTGCCATGGCCATGGCAAAAGTGCAGACTGGGAGTCAGAGGCTGCAGGAGAGTGAGGCTCAGCCTGTGCTCCCCGCCCAGCCAGCTGTATGCGTGGTGTTGGGGGCCCCAGGCATGGCCCATGAGGGTGGCAAGGTGCTGTGGAGTTGTGGCCTGGCACCTGTGACTGGTCAGGCCTTGCAGGCTGGGTGGCAGTATGGCTGTGGAGGTCACACCCTTCTGTTACTGGGCCACATGGCCCACCCTGTGGAGTGGTCCCCCTCTCACACCAGGGCCTGAATAATCACCTCGACAGAGGTGTCCTTTCCGTAGAGCATCTGCTGGTTGAACAGCCCAGCTGACAGTGGCTGTACATGCTGTGGTGCGGGCCTGATCCTGCCATGGAAGTGCCGCGCCTGCCTGATATTGCGTCTGACTAGTTTTAATGCCAAAAATTATTAAAGTTGTTTTTTATTTTTACTTTTAAAGATTGTGGTATGTAAAACATACATAACAGAACATTTACCACTGCAGCTTTTTTGTTTCTCTACTGAGGATTGAACTTAGGGCCTTCACACGGAAGTGTGTCCCCAGCCTTTTTTATTTTTCATTTTGACACAGGGTCTCATTTAAGTTGCTAAATATGAAACTCAGAGAATTTTTATTTTTGGTACCAAGAATTAAACTCGGGATCTTTGACTTGCCAGGCAGATGCTTGTTCCCCTGAGCTACATCCCCAGCCCTAAGTTG